AGTCTTTACAGACAACAGGAAGTGAAGTTTGACTTCATCATCTGAGGTTTAGGGGGTAAAAAGTGTGACCAGATCCTGTGGGCCATCACATTGTGTTACTTTAATATGAACACATTAGACATTCATTCCTCTCTGCTTTGGCTTTTATTACACATCAATGTTTTTAAAGGTTTTTAAGAAAAATAAGTACATATTTTTATTAAAATTTATCAAAAAAATGCTTTGGTTAAAAATAATTTTAAGTTTATTTTTTTTACCATGATAAACAAAACCATAAGCAGGTCAGATGATCTGTGCTGTTATCTGAGAATCATCTTTCACTTTCCTCAAGTACTGTATTTTCCAGTTATTATTTTGCTGCATTTTTGACATAGTTTCCATCACATTCTGCATAAATAAAATCCATTTTCTTTCACGTGTTTAGATATTTATTTTTAACACAGTGGTGGCGGTGCACAGGACACGCTGCTTAACGTTTGATTGGCAGCTGCTGTGTCTTTGCCTTATTATGCCTTTTTCTCTTCTCTCCTCCTCCTTCTGCATAGAAGGCAGAGAGAGAAATAAGGAGGCCTTTTCTAATGGTTGTAAACTGCAGCCAATAAAAAACATCTGTTGATTGTTTCCCTTTCTTTTTTTTTCTTTTTATGTCTTGTTATAATTTGATCAGTCAAATGCGGGACTTTGTTCGAACTTGTGCGACGCCGGGACAAGAGTGCAACATGTGAGACAGTCCCACAGTTTGCCTGGGGCTGTAGGTAAATTACCTGCTGGTTATAACTGTCCTCTGTTGTGTGGATGAGAGAAGAGAGAGGAGCTTCAGCAGCTCTCCTCCTGTCCGAGCGCACAGCACGTTCACTGCAGGAGCTGCAGCACGGCACGTGTGTGTGAAGGGAGGGTGTGAGGGCAATGTTATTATTAATAATATTACTGTTGCCATTATAGTTGTACACTTAATAAGAAGTGCAACCAAGGGCGACAGATGGAGCATAACAAAAAAATAAAAATAAAAAGCGGGTTCGACGGGGACACTTGATGGTCTGGAGGGAAAAGGGCAGGTGCTCGAGCACCACCTGACGTCTATCTGTGCACGTCCCTGCATTAAGAGTTTAAAGTTTAACCACAGTTAGCTGCACCTGCAGCACAACCAGAACCGGCATCAGCCTGCAGATGGACCAGACTGAACATTCAGGCTCAACTGCAACTAAAAGCTGCTGGAGGTTTAGTTTTGCCAGTAGAGTTCACATGAAGGTTCTGCTCACTTTGATTTCTCTGCACTTAAAACCAGAACCAGATCAACCTGGTAACAGTTTTAGGTCTTTACTGTGGGTCTGGTTCTGTTCTGGTTTAACGAGCACAGAACACAATCAGAACATCAGACGAGCCTTTACTGTCTGGGGGTTTGTGTTTCACTTCATCAGACTAGTTTGTTAACAACAAACATTTCACATCCAGGAGCCTCAGCCCGTCTGACCATCTGAGAGATAAAGTCTGTTCCAGATCCAAACTGAGCTGCTTGTGGTCAAAGGTCACTCTGAGTCCTGGACCCGGATCAAACAGGTTAAAGGTTCAGAGCGAAAACAGAGATCTGAGACCCGATCAGATGATGGACAGTTTGACGCAGTGGACAGATGGCGTCGGTTTTTTTCAGACATGAGGGACGAGCCGTTTGTTTCAGTTTATTCTAAAGTGAAAATAAAACCTTCAGAAACTCCTGAATCCAGCAGCTGTTTCCTGTCAATCATTCAGTGAAAACAGGAAGTGTTTGATCTGAATTTGGATCTGGACTCAAACCTGAAGCGGTTCTTTGTTAAAAAAGAAAACACCAACAGGATTTAGATTTTATAGTTTTAAAACCGATTTCTTGAGTCAAMCAGGTTCAGAGCTCAGAGTCAGGGCGCCCCCCGCTGGCCGAACACACGGACTGCAGCTGAAGAACTTTTATTCTGAAAGGGGCTCTGACAGGAAGTGTAGAGAAGCATCATGACTGGACCGACACAACCACGTGGACCACACCTGACTGACCTGATCCAAGCAACTGTGCTGACTTAAATCAGAGTCCAGGTGCAGAGGGCGGGTCAGTGTCCAGGTGGACACAGGTGAGCTGCAGAGGACAGGTCATTCTGGTCAGGAAGTCTCTGTCTCCTCGACAGAAACGCCTCACCTCTGATACAAACAAACAAACAAACAAACAAACAATGATTCAGGATAAAGTTATAAGTATGACAGGTGAGCCCAGTGGTTGTTACCTTCTGATCTCTGATTGGTCAGTTTCCTGCAGGTAAAAGAGACCGGACGACAAACAACCTCACTGCTGCAGACACACAACAGGAAGTGGAGGAGGACGTCCTCGGAGTCACTGTCACACACCTGAGAGACACACAAGTAGGTTAACACAAAAACACACACACACACACACACACCTGAGAGACACACACACAGGTAAGCACACACACAAACAAACACACACACACACACACCT